TTCCCTGTCTACTTATGATTTCTTTTCAAAAATAATGTGAGCTGAATTTTCGGTTTAGGGCTGAGTCCAGGAGAATTACTTCAGCAGGCCATGAATAAGATTCTGGTCTTACATTCTCAGCTATTTGTCTTATATTTGTTAAGAACTTATTATGCCTTTACCTGGGAAATGATCATGAAAGAAATCCTGCCCGTACACTTCTTGTGTTGACAGTTCTTTGGTTAATCAAGAGCAGCCATCTTTTCTTAAGAGCTTTTTTTTGTGGATGTGAGTTTGTTTCTATTTTAATGTGATAAAACTGTGATTAAAGTCCAGAGTAATGTGAATCTTGTTTTCCTATTTTGATACTTTCTTACAAAGTATTTACAAAGCTTTTCATCTCTTAATTCTAAAGGCACAACAAAGCATAATCTAATTTGCAATTGGGACAACACACAAGTCAGGACGCTATCAGATTGGTAATTTTAAATAATACCTTTCATAGCTTCTAACTTAAGAGCAAACCTAGTCAGACTGCAGTGAATGAACAAGATGTTGAGAATTTTTTTTGTCCTTTCCTGAGAAAGGAGAACGAAGCTTTTCCTTACAACACACAATGTCTGTCCCACGCACTCAGGTCAGCATCTCAGTGCACACAAAGGACTGCTTTTCTGTGTTTCAAAGTTCTCTGAATTAGAATCAGAGCGATTGTGCTGTCCCTGTCCCCAGAAATGCAGGCACCCCCAAATAGACAGGACCACGATGAGCAAAGCCAGGGGCAGACAAACTGCACAAGTAAGTTCAAGAGGAAATGCCTCTACCTTCAGAGCAAGCCCCAGCTGCAGCTCCTGCCCTCCTTCCCGTCTGATGGTCATCCTGGTCCCTCACCCCATCACTCCCACCTAGCACTACCAGTGCTGACCTGTGCTTGTCCAGTCTGACCTAATCTCATAAAACTGTATCTCTCAGAGTCTGAGATGCAGTTCTCCCTCTGTGATCGTGATTTCCTAGCCTACTCACTCCATGTTCTTTATATGCACAAACGTGAGTGCAAAGGGATAAACCTGCCCTGAATTAACCCAAGTTCACTCTCTGCTCATTTACCCCTAGAAGCTAATTTGTGACCAGGCCCAGTTTTTGTTTCTGACATCTTTCTTTTTGTGGCAGTTAGGGATTTCAAAAGGCCAAGCATCCCCCTGTGCTACATATATACTGATTTATATTTCCCACCCTAATGGCTTTACCTTCGTGCCTGCTTCCACAGCCCTGTGCAGGCTGAGTGGTGTTTATCTACTTATGTAGTCTTACTGAATTTAATGTGAGCTCTTGTACATTTCTAAGCTACATTTCAGCCTACCCTGTAGCACCGAGTTACTTCAGAGAGGAACTGATTCCTTCAGGCTGCTACACTGCTCCAGGCTGCTGCTGCTGCTCCTTTTCACATCCCTCTGGGGCTTTTCCACTGTTGTCTTCCAGCTCCTGAAGATCTCCTGTTACATCACAGGTCCGCTGCACGTTGTTGCTTCTGTCTCTTCAGCATGTGTGCAGAGTTGAAGCTGGCAGGACCAGAACAGCCACCATTATTTTTTATAAGCTTCACTCAACTGGGAATACTGGTAGACTCTTACTGCTGTGGCAAGGTAACATATTTATTGGACAAAAATCAGAGTTTGCTTTCTATGGACATTCTGCTTTTTATGCTCTCTGTGCTTTTGCCTATGACTTTGAGTTTGGCAGTGCCCATCCATTGCTGCCAACTTTAAATTTATCTGGCATTGAGTGCACAGACTATTAGTCATATAGAAACCTCCAGCATTACCCCACTGTATCATAGTTCCCCGTATGAATGATGGAGACAGAGTGAAATCCAAAGGGAATAAGTTAACTAATCTTGCACAACAGGATTCTGTAAAATGATATTGTGATAGTAAAAAGACACGTAAATGTACCACAAAATAAATAAGCTCCAGATTTTCACTGCACAGAACTTCTGACATGCCTCTTTTAAAATTCCTTGTTTTATATTCAGCAAATAAAAACACAGCACTAATGAGTCATATTTTGCTGAGTTATTATGTAATCTTGAAGGCAGTTTGTTTTAATTTCCACTTGGATAGGATACTTTTCCACTTACATATTATGTAACACTCCTTATAAAAATAGAGACCCGGTCTTGCAAACACCTTGGAGTGTTCCTGTTACAGAATGAGACTTGTGACCAGTGCAGTTCTCACACCCTCCTTATTATGTTTATAATATCACAAAACATTCCCCTTCTATCTTAAAAAAAAAATCATCACTCTTGATCTATGTGCAGCCTTTCTTCCTAAATTTTAAATAATATTTCTTCTGTTTTTTTTTCTTTCTTTTTCTTTTTGAGCTTGATGGGCATATATACATAGATACACTTGAATATTTTATGTTAATGACAGATCTTGCTTGTTAAAAAACTTGATTTGAAATCCTTGTCCTGTTGCTAAGTAAGAGCTCTTGAGAAATTAATTCTAAACATACAAAATGTAACATGTTTTATATCAGCCAGTATGCATTTAAGAGAACGTGCACTGCTTATAAAAGATAACAAAGAAAAAAAAATACTTGAGATACATAGTGTTAATGAAATAGGTGGCAAGGCCAGCAGCACAAGAGTCAGGAAATTAGAAGCCATGGCTTCTCAAGCTACAACCTATGTTCAGCATGGGCAGGATGCTCCTTGCTAAGTGCTAATGCTTGCAGATTGGTGATTGACACTGAGAAAGAAGTACATACTCTTCGTCATGGCATTTTTATGTTTATTTACGTTTTAATGAAGTCCAAGACATCCAATGTGGCAAATCTTAAAAATCATTTCACATTCCACATTCTCAAGCTCCCGGATTCAAATAACGTAATTTAAATTGTAAAAAGTAAAAAAATAAAATAAAAAATAAAAGGGGGAAAAGGGGGGCAAGAATGTGAAAGAAAAGTGGAAAATAGATTTGGGCACTAATTTTAAAGCAAATAAATCTTACCACAGCTGCCTTAAAGTAAAGGAATGCAATCCAACAGTGCATTACAGTGCTGCTCTGGCACATGAAGACTTCTTTATTGAAGATGTTGAATGATAACTACCAACACAAATATTTAATTTCCTATAAGTTGCAGACATAAGCCTCAGCCTTTTTAATTGCCAGAACACTTGGAGAGACAGTCTCTAAACAGTCATTTAATACTTTCACTTATGCGTGTGCTTATTTCCATCCAACTAGCCAACTCTTCATCTTTGTGAATGTTTTGCTGCCTGTGAAAAGTGCTGCTCAGCCAGAGCCTATGTCAAAGGTTTTCCCTGCACTGATTATATGGAGGCAGCAGGACTTTTCTAGTGTGCTCTTGCAGCTTGGAAGGCCAGCAGTATCCTGGGCTGCATCAACAGAGGGGTGGAAGCAGAGAGAGGGAGGGGATTGTCCCCGTTTGTTCTGCCCTTGTGAAGTTCCATCTGGAGTACTGTCCCCAGTATAGGAAGGACATGGAGCTCTTGGTGTGGGTCCAGAGGGCTGGAGCACCTCTCCAACAAAGACAGGCTAAGGGAGTTGGGCTTGTTCAGTATGGTGAAGGGAAAACTCTGGGGAGACCTCATTAAAGCCTTCAAATATTGAAAGGGACATTTTAAGCAGAAGGGAAACCAACTTTTTACACGGTCTGATGGCGATAGGACAAGTGGGAATGGCGTTAAAGGAGGGGAGATTTAGAATAAATGTCAGGAGGAAGTTTTTCAGTGGGGGGCAGGTAGGGTTGAGGCACTAGCATGTGCTGCCCAGGGAGGGTGTGGATGCCCCTTCCCAGAGGTGCTCAAGGCCGAGCTGGATGGGACACCAGACAGTCTGATTTGGTGTATGGTTGGAACTGCATGATTTTAAGGTCCCTTCACTGCCTTCCTAGATGTGATGCATGCTTCCATCTGTCAGAGCCTGCCTCCCTTCCATACGCAATTCAAACACAGCATTCACATTTTTGTCAGGCAAGATGTTGTTCAGCACCAAGTAAGAACTGCAGTAAGAACACGGCAAAGTGCAGAGTTTTGCACTTGGGCTGGAGGAATCCCAGGCATCCATACAGACTGGAAGGAGCAGTCCTTGAGAGCAGCCCTGTGGAGAGGGACCTGGGGGTCTTGATAGATGAAAAACTTGATATGAGCCAGCAGGGTGCCCTTGCAGCTCGGAAGGCAAATGGGATCCTGGGCTCCATCAAGAGAGGGGTGGCCAGCAGGGACAGGGAGGTGATTGTTCCCCTCTACTCTGCTCTTGTGAGGCCCCATCTGGAGTACTGCATCCAAGTGTGGAGCCCCCAGTACAAGAAAGACAGGGAGCTGTTGGAGAGGGTCCAGAGGAGGGCCACAAAGATGATCGGGGGATTGGAGCACCTCCACTATGAGGACAGGCTGAGGGAGCTGGGCTTGTTCAGCCTGGAGAAAAGAAGGCTGCGGGGTGACCTCACTGCAGCCTTTCAGTACCTAAAGGGAGCCTACAAATAGGAGGGGAATCAACTCTTTGAAAGGGTGAGTGACAGCAGGACAAGGGGAAATGGTTTTAGGCTGAGGGAAGGGAGATTTAGGTTGGATGTCAGGGGGAAATTCTTTACAGAGAGAGTGGTGAGGTGCTGGAACAGCTGCCCAGAGAGGTTGTGGATGCCCCGTCCCTGGAGGTGTTCAAGGCCAGATTGGATGGGGCCCTGGGCAGCCTGGTCTAACATTAGGTGGAATGGTTGGTGGCCCTGCATGTGGCAGGGGGTTGGAGCTTCATGATCCTTGAGGTCCCTTCCAACCCTGGCAATTCTGTGATTCTGTGCATGCTACCGCTCCTTTTAAACTGATTCCCAAGAAGCTCATTTGCCTGGAGCTCACAGCTCTCAACATTCGACACTAAGCTCAGCGGATGCAGCTCCATCTGCATCCGCAGCATAGCCTCATCTCAACAATGCCTCCCCTCTAATGAGCCACCTGGCGCTGAGGCGCAGCCCGGCCCTGCGGCTCCGTTTCCCGCCCCCGGGAGCGGTCAGGCGGCAGCGCCCCGCCGCGGGCAGGGGAAGCCGGGGCCGGGCTCTACGCGAGGCCGGGGGGGCGCGGGGCTGCGGGCCGCCGGAGCTGGAAGGCGGAGCGTGGCCGGGAGCTGCTTCGCCGATGGGAAGCATCGAAGCGAGCTGCGTCTCTGCTCGGCCCTCCGTGTGGAGCATGTAAACGTAGGTTTGCTTTCCTTTATGGTGCGCGCCTGGTGTGACTTTGCTTTCGTGTGACTCACGGCGTTTGTTTTTAAACGGTGTCGATCGCGTGGTGAGAGTGGAGAGAGCGCTACGTTGGTGCCTCCTAAGCTGGGGACGGGAAATGCAGGGAGCGGGGATGCAGAGCGCTCCCTCTGTGTTTGTCTGTTATTAATTGCTCTCCTGGCTGCGGCCGGGGCGCAGTGATAAATGACTTCAGGCGAAGCTCTGCTTCTCATTTAGCGCAAAACAGTTTCCAGTGTAAAACGGCACCACGTGGTTACGTGTCTGCCTGAAGGGCTGGAGGTGAAGGGGGTAAAAGCTTCCTGAGCGTGTAGTTCAGCCTGCATTACCATCAGATTGACATCCTTTTTTTTTATTATTATTATTTTTTACCGTTTAAAGCCTCTGAACAATTGTCAATAAATTGGAAAAAAAAAAAAAATAGCACTTTAACTCATTAGCACAATCTATATGGTGGGAGATTGGGTCCGTTCAGCATCATCAGTGGTCTCCTAGAATAAGAGGTGTGCCTTTCCCATTGCTGGCCTGCAACCAACCAGCACAGGCATTTGGGTTTGTTTACCTGCAGCTTGCTTTGTGCCTTGAGCTCCCAGGCTTTTAAAGATGTATTTATCCAGTTCTTAGTACTGTGCCTTAGCTACTGGGAAAGCAGTGGTGTAGCTCAGTGGTTACTGCTGTGAGATCATTGACCGTGGGTGGGAGCTACTGAGGGGAGTGTACTTTTCTGTGAAGCAGTATGGGACAAAAATTAGACTTCTGTATTTATTAAATTCGTGTGTCTGAGAAGATAAACACCAAGAGGGCGTGCTGTAGCAGATACTCTTCATTGTTATCGCCTGGGTTTTCATTTTAAGAGTGACACTGTGTTGTGACAAACTCAAGGGAAACAATAAGCAGGCTTTTGATTGTTACGGCATTTCTCTTGATAGGTGGCTAACCCGAACAATTGCTTTACACTGAAGGCAGAAACAGAAGTGTAATGCAAACACTGAATATTTTAGAAATATTTTCAGCACTAGGGAAATCTTTCCACTATAATAATTTTCATGGCTTTCTCTTCTGTGTAGTTAGCAGCCAAATAGCCCTGAAGCCTCCTAGTTAACAGTGCAGGCTCTACTCCACTGATTTCAATAAATAGGCATAAACAAAGATCCGGATAGGCCCAAAGTCTTGGGGCAGAGTAACAGTGGATAATGTAGATCTGCATACTAAAAAAGCCACGAAGTGTGCAGTGGAGTTGTTTCCTACCCTGGACGTGTTGAAGGCTTCTGCTGCTGCCAATGAAAGAGAGCCTCCCCTCCATCTGGGTGCAGTGGCTGGCTGCTCCGAGCCTGGTTGCTAGGACTGGAAGTATTTCAAGAAAGTACTTTGTGATTCAGAATAGATTAGACTGATGGTGCCAAAAGCTGAAGTCACTTGGGATGGGGGTACCAATGGCAGCAACTCAGGCTTTCTCTGCATGGCACTAAAGATAGGGCTGCTACCATCTACGCTGTGTGTAGTGGGTTGTGCACAGCAGCAGTGGTCTGTGAGTAGGAGCAGCAGCCAATCATGAGATCAGTGCCATGAAATGTCTCGATTGTGAATATGGGCACTGTAACATCCATGTCAGGGCTAATTGCAGAGGTTCTTTCTTTAGTTGGTGGAGAGAAATGAAGAGTTCAGTTCTCCTCATCCTAAAGCAGGTTTCTAAATAGGTCAGTTGAGCTGGGGTCTAAATGAGTGCATTATTTATGGGTGTTGCAGGTGGTGCCTGTGATGTTCAGATGCAGGTGACTCTGGTACACGTTTAAAGTTTGGTAACATGAACCTGGCTGTACTCATTTCTTGCATCTAAGTAAAACTGGGAATTCCCACTTGACTTATAGCCTTCCCCAGTGTAACATAAATCATGTGTATCTCACCTCCATACCTTCCACAAGTTTTATTGCTCTTGTTTTAACTAGAAATTGTGTCTGACAGGATTGGTTGCATCTACTTTTTTAAGGTTGACCTTCATTCCAGAGCATTTACAAAACTAAACGTCACCGACTTAGGATTCTGCTTGAGATGTGTTTTGTGAGATATTCATTGCAAGGAGAACAAGTAGCAGTTAAGCAACTTCTGTGACAGGTCGACAATAAACCTTAATTTCTTGTCATTAAAAAAAATAAAATAAATCCAACATCATTTTCTATTACTAGCAGCACTAAAAGGAGTTTCTTAGAAACAAGTTTATATTTCTTAACTGAATGGTAGAATACTAGAAACTTGGATGCCCTTTGAATCTGTCAAGCTTATTATAGTATTTTAGACTTGATGATGAGTCTTCCTTGAAAGGCACTTAGAAATTAAAGGCTTAATTATTTTTTACATTGAGCTTCAAATGAATTAAAGCAATTTAGTGGGTTGTCAGGTTCAATACTAAGCACGTGCATGATACTTAAATTATTTGGCAAGCCACGTGAACTGGAATGTGAGAACTGTTCTGGGTGTAATGCACGTATGAAATGCATTGTAGATGAACTATGTGAAGAACTGGTTAAATGGATGTTTCATGTAATGAAAAATATCTTGTTCTCAGAATTTCCCCACCTCAGGTAAGCCAGAAGAGCTTCCTGGTAGCCTTCAACTTCAAAAATGAAATCCTGTTCTCATGGCCTTATCCCAAGCAGTTACAAAGCAGTACCTGTATTTATATTATGGATGTGTGTATGTTTTATATATGTATTTATGGAGAATATATATATATTCAGTCTGGATACAAACCCATTTTTGGATAAAAGAGGTTTGAGTCTGTGTGCACAACGCTGTTCCTTGGATTGAATTGCAAGTGAAAGTTGGTAATTAATGGGATTCTTGTGGGATTGCTATGCCCAAAGAAAAGGAAGCGGAAATCAATTTTGTGCTTTGCTGTACTCAGTCAAATGAAATAAAAACAAAAGGAGACCCTGGGGTCCTATTGTTCTAACTATGCTAGTCAGAATCCTTTTGACAGCTCTTCTAGGTCTTAGTGTGTAAAGATACTGAATCTAAAGAGATATTCCCTGTGTAAGGACAGGGGGAGGGCTTTGGTTGCATCAATATTTGTGTAAGAACCAAAACAGCAGGAAAAAAAAACCAAAACACTGAACAAATTAGGAGTAGATATATAAACTTTGAAACGGCTAAGCTTCCTGTTAAAAACAAATATGATTACTTATTGATTTGCCAGGAGCCCGAGGAAAGTGTTAAACCAGAACTTTTCTTCTGATTTAAGATTTGGATGCACCATCTTTCTTCAGCACACGGCATACAGTTGATTTGAATTGCTCAGCTCTAAGCTAGTAATGTAGCTCAGCAGTAGTACCTATGTTTGGTTTGTGGAACTCGTCTGAGTGCCTTACAAAAGGACCTTTATGCTGTAGGTATCAAATGGCTGCAGGAACAAGGATGAACAAATAGGTGAATCCAGCCGGAGCTCTGCTAAACGCAGGGATTTTTGGGCAAACAGGTCTGAATATATCTTCTGTGTCCCAAAAGCCATAAAGAAGATAATGAGTATTCCTAAATATTCAGCTAGAAGGAAGCGGGGAGAATCGCCTTAAAGCACTCCTTCTCTTACAGTTGCTCCCTAAGTGATACTCTGCTCTCTGTGGTACTGCAGGAACACCGCTGCGACCCGACCAAGGTTAGCATGTGGAGGCTGGCAGCTCGTGTCCTTCTGGGGACCAAAGTCCACCTCGTGACCCGACGCCTGCTTGCTGGGGCTGCAAACCTGCAGTGCTGCTGGTGGAGGACGGCACGGAGGACTCACACGGGTTACATGAGTGCGGGGATACGGAAAGTGGAGGCTCCAGATGCGGAGCACCTCATCCGTGTGCAGTGGGAGGATGGAAGTGAGAGCTGCTACCCCTGCGTCTGGCTGCGGGACAACTGCCAGTGCCCACACTGCTTCCTGCACTCTGCCAAGGCCCGCAAGCTGCTCTTCGAGGACCTGGATGTTGACATCGTGGCCAAGGAAGTCACTCTGACAGACAGGAAAAAGGTGAGGATGATGATCTTAATCCATAGAAAGTGTAACCCAACGTTCAGCACTGGCCCAGCTTCTGCGTCTGTGTTTATCCATCTGCGTTAGCAGCTGTTCATGAAAAGGGGAGGTTATTGAGCAAGACAAAGTAGGAACTGATCTTTCTGTAAATTTTATTTTTTTCTGACACGTATAGCAACTTTGTATGTCATTTTGATTTTATACACCTATTTACTCGAAAGGGAAAAAAGTTTCAAAACTAGGGGAACAGTTTCTCTCTTAACATTTATCCTTCTCATACATCTCTCTTGTCCTGCTTTTGAAAGGCAGTTCTGCTCTTCTGAGTTGTAGTGAAGCATTCTTCTCAGTGGAATGTGCCAGCTTCTGTGATTCCCACTTTCTGTTAGGCAAAGTACACGCAGTGACAGCAGCCCACAGAAAATAGCAAATTAGGTCATGTGCTCATGTGAAAATAAACATCTATAAAAGGCATCGGAATTCGGATGCTGTTCAGGTTGGATTTTCATTAATTGTTTGCATGGAATTACGTGGAAGCCTTAGCTGTGATATTACTGATTGAAATATTGCAATTTCTATAATTTCTATTTTTTTTTTCCCTAACATTACATTTCTTTTTATTTCACAAGATATTTATCACGTGGCCCGATGAACACACAAGCGAATATGAAGCTGAGTGGTTGAAAAAACGATGCTTCTCTGAAGCAGCCAGAGCAGAAATGCGAGAAGATTTATTTTTACCAGGTAGGAATTAAACCCACATGATGTGTCACACACCTTTTGAACACTCATGGGCTGATGCTGCAGAGCCTATCTAGATAGAGAGTCTCTGTGTGAGGACCAAGCTGAAGCAGGAACAGTTTCTGGGATCACGTTTGCCCTTTCACCTCTTCTGATCTCTGGACTGTGGGCCAGGAGCTCTGCTCTGTCCCAGCCCATTTGCAGGGAGGGAGACATTCTGCTGCTTGTGTTTGCTTTCCTAAAAACTGCTTCCTTTTGGATAAGGTTTGGAGGTCTCAAAAATGAGTCCTGTGGAGCAGTGTTGGTCTGTGTAATTATTTTTATATTATATATATATATATATTATTAGGCCACTGTGTGTTGTTTCAAACTGCAAGGAAGTTGTAACTGAAATATTTTTCCCCTTTCCATGGCTTTTGGTTAAAAAGTAACTGTGTTGCTTACCAGTGCCTTGTGCTGAAGTTCTGGTTGTGTTTGCTCTGTCTCCTGTACCTCCTGCGTAGCCTTTTGGAAATGAAGAATTCTGTGCAACTGGAATTGTAGCACAGGCAGTCCGAGGGATGGTTACACTTCACTCACCCTTTTGAATGAATGATTATGAAATCAGTAGGTTTGCCACGATGCACATCCTCATTTCTTCTTTCTTCAGCAGTCTTTCGTACTGGGAGTGTGAAATGTGTGAAAACTTGCCAGATTTCTGCAGTTCGCCTTGACGGTGTTCCTGTGAGCTCTGCTGCTGCAGAAAGCTGTGGGAAAGTATTCAGAGCTAAGATTTTATCTGTTGAAATAAGGTCTTATTCTAGTAAAGGAAAGAAGAGGCAGACTGATGGTGAGAAATTCAAATCCAGCTATTGGTTTCCTCAGCGAAAGGCAAATCTGTTTATGCTCTTTTTTTTTTTTGAGTGTTGTCTTGGTTTTTTTTTCTAACAAAGGAAAATGATTTTTATTTTTTCTTGAAAGACTATGAATGTGAAAATATAAAACCATAAGTATCATCTGCTTCTTGAGCTTCATTTGGCAGTTAGGGAGCTGGCTTCTGCAGGTCACATCTTCCTTAGCTCCTAGCTCTCATTCTCTTAAACAAAAGTCAGTTATTTAGATTCAACCTTTTGTAACTAGTGTAAAGCTTCTGCTGATGAGTAATATTTCCATTCATTTCAGTGGATCATGTAACATGTTTACTAGTTCCAGAGTGGAACTTCTATCCCCTGGTGATTGATATAAAAGTTGATGTCTATTTTTGTCTTGGCAGGAATAAACGACGCTGTTTACTAAGTTGGAGGCTTGGGCGTCTTCCCAGAGTGAGCGTGCTGAAGGTGCAAACTTAGTACAGGGAAACTACTAGATTTGATTTCTCAGGTTCTGAGTTGTTTTTTGGAGAAGTGAAGATGCTGTGGAAGCTAGCAAGGCGTTCTGTAGCGTTTTGGGGGGAACGTTGTAAGTCAAATGTTGCTCTAATTCATGCTCAGATGCTCAGAAAAATTCATCCAGATGTTTTGTTATGCTTATTCCCAAATGTATCAGTAACCAAGATTGCAGTATTTCAGATACAATGCTTCTTTTTGCCTCTGTTACAAAACCTAACTGCACATGGTTTGCCTTTGCACACACTCATTTACACCGTCCTTACTCTCAGGATCTAAATTCCATGCTTCTTCTGGAGGTTTCTTCCTTTTGTTACAGCTTTTCTTTAGTGCAGCAGTCCAGAAAAATATACAGAAAACATACTTTTATTCTTTGGACACTGCTTTGCAGATTTGGTGATCTGAGGAAATATGTTTGTAAAAGTTACATAAAGTAACTACATAAACTTTGGCCTTGCCTAGCAGTGTCACTGTGCTCTTCTTCATAATTCTGGGAAAGATCTGGCTCCTTACGACAGGTTGCTCCTTCCAGGTTTTATTTGCAAGGAAGGCTGCATTTCTAAGGCATGTGAATTTGCTTGCTGGCTGTTTGAGACCAGCTTCTTCTTGTGTAAGTTGAAAATCAGCTTCCTTCTGGTCCCTGCAGTTACAACACTGCAAATGACATACTCTTAAGTAGTTGATCATATCCTAGCAGTATAGCATTACAGACAATGACCTGAAATGGCAGCCCTGTGTGCTGGTTCAACAAAAGAGCAGGCTCACCAGACTGCTCTAGTTAGTGGTTTACCTTCATTGCTGACACTGTCAAGGCTGCTGCTCTGTTTTTTCCCTGCTCAGCAGCTGATTTGCTGGAGAAAGCAGTGTGCTAGCACAAGCAGTCAAAACCAGAGGATGTGCACTTGTTGGGAAGACCCCAGGTCTGTGCTTTGTTTTTCAGTTCTTCTTCATTTGCTGTGTGGCTAATAACAGTGCAACCTTCCAGAATTTTAATTTCAATATGTCAGCTGGTTCTTAGTCGCTTTGCTTTGGTCATTTGTGGCTTTGTTAATTTCAGAGCTGTAATTGCTAGCACATTTTGAGAAGCACAAATACAACAGCCTGTAGGCAAGCCTGTGCGTCACCTGTGGTTATGTCTTGGAGCTTGCAACACCACTTAAATACAGACATGTACACACACAGACCTTCACCGTATGTGCATCTGTCAGTGGTGCCTATGCTAATTAGACAAATATAAAATGCATTTTCTGAAACAGTGATGTGTGCTTTCCTAATTTGGATTTGTGTTTTGTTGCAGATGCTGGCAATTGTGCCAGTGCGATCTTTTTTTTTTTTTTTTTCTTTTTCCTGTCATTTAGTTTCATTGTGGATCAGCTCTAATAACTGATGCCATTTCTTTCTTCTCTGGGAAAAAAACCCAAGATTTTCACGTGAAGTTTATTTTAAAAGCAACCAGCTGTTCCTAGAAACTCTCCTCCCAGTTGTTTCTGGGATGCGTTTTCATCAGGTGTTGGTGCTCAGTGGAGTTGGAGAGCTCTCTCAGTTTCTTGTAGCATCAGAATAGATCTCTTTATTGTGTTCAACATATATACCATCCACTTACAAGCAGTAAGTTTCTGTAACAGTTAATTGGCCCTAACTTGTCCCAAACAACAGTGATAAAGGATGAAACGTTTTTCAATTGTGACATTAACAGTGCATACAAAAGAATTTCCTGTTTATCCTTTGACTCCATTTTCTCCTTGTCTTCTGTTCCAGTCTCCCAAGGCTTCACAGTGATAAGATCTATCAAGGAGTCTGTTAAGCTCTTTGGTGACTCCTCACAGTTACATCTTCCCCACAGTCAGGTATATAGTCTTTTGAGAAGAGTCATTACATACAGTTAGAATCATTAAGGTTGGAAAAGACCTCTGAGATCATTTAGTCCAACCCCAGCTGATGCCCACTGACCACATCAGTGCCAGGACTCCATGTTCTTTAGTTCCTTAAACAGCTCTAGGGACAGTGACTCCACCAACCCACTGGGCAGCCTCTGCCAGGGCCACACTGCTCTTTAAGACAAGAAATTTTTTCTCATATCCAACTTGAACATCCCCTGAAGAGGTTACCTCTCAACTCAGTTCTTCCTGTTTATATAAAAGAAAAAATATTTTTGAAGGCATTATGCCACACATCTCCAAGTAATTTCATATCATTTATTTTGTTTTCATTAATAGACATTGGGGGTCTCAAACGAAGGGGCAAAACAATTCTGACTTAATTCAGTAGTTTAAATCTCAGAAAGTTCCAGATTTTCCTATCCGGCTACTCTTAGAGTACGAAATACATTTTAAAAACATTTTAGTTGTTTTAAACTGAAAAACAAGCATATGAATTTATTATTCTCCAGTAAAAGGTTCTAGCTTGCCAGTTGGTACTCACCATGTCACAGCTGAAATGCTGAATAATTCCAGGTGATGCATGCGTGCTGTCTGCAGAAATTAGGCAAAGGCTATAATCTCATTTTGTGGAGACTTCTCATTTAGAGTCTTTGTGGCTAATCTGGAATGATCAAGAAATAGGATTCTTTTTCTCCTTTCCCCAAAATTGCTATTCTGAAGTTGGAAGATGTGGTGACTAATTCTTTCAAAAGCAGTTCATTCTTCACACTTTGAAAAGCACGTAGATGTGGGGTTTTCTTAGTTACAGTGCAGTTGGTCAATCAAAATGAAATAATTCTGCACGACCTTTGCTTTTATCCTTTGTGAATTATTCAGCTGCAGTTGTAAACATGGAGATTTTTGATATGGCAGCTGCTTTGCGAGTGAGAACTAAGGCTGTCCAAATGCTAATGGCTCACTGCTGTCTTTCTTACTCCTTAGTTTTTAAGAGCTTATGTTCTTAAGTTTCTGCTGGAATACAATGGAAACTGTATTAACCATACTTATGCAGTGGGAAAAAAGTATGCTGTGCTGACATGATAAAATAATAAGGAACATGAGTGGGATCAGTTCCCACCAGGAAGTAGTGGCAAATGCTCTTTTTTTCTTCTTCTTCTTAAGTAGAAGAACATGAATATCTTTGCATCATAGGATTGGTTTTTGTTTTCTTGTGTTTTCCTCTCTCTTTCCTGAAGAATTATAGACCTGCTAATTTGTCAAGTTGTAAATATTTGACAGCACGTCATCCTTCTGTGTGGGTCTGATGAGGAAGGAGGTCTTCACAAATATTGCTGCTTTTAGTATCAACCTACTATTTGTCTCTCTCCTCCTCCTACTGGAATTAGAATCATTTGGGTTGGAAGAGACCTTTAAAGCCTCATCCAACTCTGCAGTGAACAAGGACAGCCACAGCTCGATCAGGTGCTCAGAATCACAGAATGGTTGGGTTGGAAGGACCTCAAAGATCATGAATCTCCAACCCCCTGCCACATGCAGGGTCACCAACCTCCACATTCAATACTAGACCAGGCTGCCCAGGGCCCCATCCAACCTGGCCTTGAACACCTCCAGGGATGGGGCATCCACAGCCTCTCTGGGCAGCTGTTCCAGCACTCTCATAGGAAAGAACTTCAGAGCTACATCCAGCCTTACGGTTTTACTTAAGTGGCTGTGAGGTCTCAGGGGCCAGTCAGGAGAGGAAGTTCTTTACTGTTTTTCA